TGAAATAGGACTCCAATTTTGAAATTTTGGCCCTTCCCGCCTAAAATTTTTGAAATTTGAATTTCAAACTCTGACTTTTGCCACGTGTCGCGCATCAACCGTTGCAATCAGTCGGCTGCAGACCTGCCGTTTCGCCTGCCAGTGGGTCATCATTGCGCCGCCTGACGCGGCGCAACCTGGAGAGGCCACGTCACTTCTTTCAGCCCTCCTCTTCCTATATAAGGGCCTCCACCCCTCCTCTCTGCTCACTTTCCGCGATCAAGTCTCAGAGCTTTCACCGGTCAAGTTCCTTCTCTTTCGCTATCCAGCCCTCCGAGCCAAGTAAGTTTCCCCTTCCTTCTCTACTTTCCCGGTCATGTCTTCTCATAGTGATAGGATCTCTTCCTCAGAGGACTGCTCCTCTGAGGACTCCAACTCCTCTTCCTCGACCGGGTCTTCTTCTCTTGACTCTACGCCCGGTCAGGTTCCCGACTCCTCCATTCCCGACCCGCATCCTGTAAATCAGGTGCCCGGTGAAACTTTCGTGGGGAGGGATGACCCGGTCGATGACGAACCGGGCCCCTATGACCCTGAACACGAAACCCGGGATGGGTGGGAGGAGCGGCTTCATGCTGCCGGTTACTTTCCGCTTCCCACTTTCTACGTCCTTGACATACCTTCTCGTGTATCTAAAATTGCCTTAAACAAAATCCGTAGGAGGCTCCCGGATGGGTATACCCTCCTCTACGAACCTAACTGGCCCAATATCGTTGAACCCCACCGGGAGGATAGGATAGGGTTCCATACTATTTCCCTGGATGCGGGCATAGTTTTTCCCCTTCGCCCCCTCCTTACCGAAGTTTGCCATGCGTTTAGGATTTTGCCCGGCCAAATAACTCCTAACGCCCACCGGTACCTTCATTCCTTCGTAAATATTTGTACTCATCTGAAAATTTTCCCTTCTTTGCGTCTTTTCCTTTTTTGCTTCGAAGTCCTACCGGGCGGGGCTGGCTGCGAAGGCTTTGTATTCTTCAAAGCCCGCACTGGTAGGAAGTTCATTTCCGAAGTCCCCTAGAGTAACCGGGGATGGAAGGAAAAATTTGTTTTCATCGAGTTTCCCCCCTTCTTCACTCCTCTGGCCGGTCTGAAGTGGAATGACCATCTACTCGACCAAGAGTATGCTGCCCCGGCCTCCTCCCCAGACTTGGAAGATAACCTCGAGATCCTCATGCGCGGGGATCCTCAAACCGGGAGGATCTTCCACCAAGGCAGCTGGGTTTGGAGGGTAGAGTCGGGTGGTGAGGGTACCTCCCAGGCCCAGGAAGCAGCGGGGCACGGGGTACCCTCCCCGGGCAACACTGCAGAGGCTGAGGGCCAGAACCACCCAGGTATTTTTCACTTTTCTTGTGATTCGTAGTTGGACCGGTCGAACTACTTGTACTTAACGATTTCAGCTTCTCTTGCAGATATGGAGTTTGAGGAGTTCGCCATCCCTGACGACCAACCAGCCGGGGAGACCGGGGGCTCCCAAGCCAATCCTGCCAGGACTTTCCCGGTCAATCCAGAGACCGTGGAAATCCTGGATGAAGACGAGCCCCAAGACAACCGGTCTAAGGGGAAGGAGAAGGAAAAGGTCGGTCGCCGGGTGAAGAAGGTGGCCACCACGCACCCTTCCTATGCCAAGAAGAGGGCAAGGTCAGATCCTGAGCCGGCCGGCCAAACCATCGAGGAGGCCTTCATCAATCTGGGGCTGAGGCTGAAGGAGGTAAGTCTTGATGTCATCCCGGTCTTTATTTGTTTTTTTTATCGGGAAACTTACCGGTCTGTTTCGTTTTTGTGCAGGCGGGGGAGATTGGGCCGCAAACAGTGGACCGGTTGGGGATGAGTTCCCCTTCTGAAGTCGACCGGCTGAAGAAGGAGAAGGAAGAGATGGCACTCATCCTGAGGAGCTAGGCTGATGAGCTAATCCGGCTGTCTGGGCTGGCCGGGGTAATGAAGACCGAGATCTCCCAACTGAAGGAGGAGAATGGCCGGCTTCTGGACGAAGTCTCTGAAGCCAAGAGGGAAGTAGCGGAGAAGGAAGAAACCTTCCCCGGGCGCGCAGCTGCCTGGGTGGAAGAGAATAAGGCTGAAGCTGCCCGGGTGATGACGGCTAGCCCAGAAGCGACCATGGAATCCTTCAGGCTTTTGTACCGGGAGCCTGAAGGAAAGAAGATGATTACCGCTATTGGGTCCTTCGGATTCAAGAGTGGTCAGAAGAAGGACCGGGTTGCCTGCCACCGGATTTTGAAGAAAAGAGACCCAGAGTTCTCCGCAGCTTCTTACGGCCTGGCATCCATCCCGGAGGAAGAGCCTACTCCCCTTTTCCCCCTAGATTAAGAACTCCCCGGCCTTGACCGACTGCTTTGTAAACTTAAAACTTCCATTTCCCCGGGAATGCCCGGTGTAGCTGTAAACACTAAACATTTTCATTTTAATTGAATGCCATGTTTAATTTCCATACCGGTGGATCTGGCATATCTGCTTGCTCGTTGATTTATACTTTGCATATCATAGAAATTCTGACCGGTACATAAATTAGGCCACTTCTCAATCTTTTTCGACCGGTGGAACTTCAAAGTTCTCTTTGATTACTTCATCTGAAGGATTAGCTCAAGTAACTTTAACCGGTCAGACCTCCATATTTGCTTTTCGAAAGTCTTCATCATTTTGGCCAACTTAAAAAGTTTGACCGGCCGAACTTTACTTTCGCATTTTGGATAGCTTCATAAATTCTTTGATAAAGTTTAATTTGACCGGTGAATTCCAACTCCATGGTTTGACCGGTCAAATGCCTTGCCTTTCGATGGATGTAGAACTTTCGAAGTTCTGTTGTGCCCATACCCGACCGGGGTATTTTTTTTTTATCGGTAGGTTGTAGATGGAACCACCTGTAACCTAGTAATTCTTGAAGTATCCTTAACCGGTAAGAATACTGGAGATTTAACCATGTCGAATGGTTTCGAACCCTCTCCAAGGTCCAAATGCACCCTTCTTCCAGGGCCCCCTCTTCCATGTGATTAAGTCTTTTAATGGCCCTTTGATTCCTACCATCCCGGGAAGGCCTTAGCTCACCCTCCCGTTCAAGTCTTCCCTAAGAAGGGGGAAACAGGATGCGCCACGGTGGACGATCCCCTTCTATTTCTTTTAATGGGCATCTTTTAGTCCCCAATCAATTTGACGGCGCCGGCTGATTCCCCGACACCGGTCAAATCTCATGGGCCCGTGTAAGTACGGTTCGAACCCTCTTCCAGGTCCAGCCCTCTTGCAGGCATACCCTCTTCCGGGCCCCTCTTCCGGGTTTTAATATTTTTTCTATTATACTGAGCAAGACCGGTGTAGTAAACAGCGTGCCAGGTCCGGGCCTATGTCTCAGTTGGCTTATCTAAGTGGATTCGATCCACCTAGGAAGCCCTCCTAGGATAGGTTCGACCTATTAATTCTGTCGCTACCAAGTAGAGTATTGAACATCACTTTGATTATAATGAAGTAGGCCTCGCCTAGTATTACAATCATTTGTAGAACTTGCGAAGATGATGGGAATTCCAGGTTCTTTCTATCGGTACACCTTCAAGAGTTTCCAACCGGTAGGTTCCCGGGCGAATGATAGCTCTCACCCGGTAAGGCCCTTCCCAGTTTTTGGCTAGATTTCCTCCGTCTCCCGGTCTACTAGCCTCCCTTCTTCGCAGGACTTCATCGCCGACTTGAAAGTATCGCAATCCAACCTTGTTGACGTGGTACTTCTTCACGACTTGTTGATATGTGCTCATTTTAACTTCTGCGGCCATTCTCCGCTCTTCGACCAAGTTGACTTCGGCCAAGTGATCTTCCTCATTCTGCTGGGGTTGATAATTTGACTCCCGAAACGTGTGGAATTCAGCTTCGATGGGCAGCCTTGCTTCACATCCATAGGTTAGGGAGAATGGAGTTTCCCCATGAGCCCTCCTGGGTGTTACCCGGAATGCCCATACGATGTGTGGGAGCTCTTCCAGCCACTTGTTTCCTGCCTCTCCCAACCGCTTCTTTAGACCATCCACAATTGTTCGGTTGGCGTTTTCGACTTGGCCATTCCCTTGGGGGTATGCCACCGAGGAGCGATTGTGCTTGATCCCGAAGCCCTCCAAGTATTCAGTGAACCTTGGATTTCGGAATTGTGGGCCGTTGTCGGTGATGAGGTTCATGGGCGCTCCAAACCTCGTGATGATGTTCTTCCAAATGAATTTCTTGCATTGTTGCGTGGTAATGTTGGCCAATGCTTCGGCCTCGATCCATTTGGTGAAATAATCGATGGCTACGATTACAAACTTCTTCCCTCCTTGGGTGACCGGGAAGGCTCCAATGATATCAACCCCAAACCTAGCGAATGGGATGACATTCGATACGGGGTGATAGTAGGTCGCCGGTCTACCGGGGTACTTGTAGAACACTTGACATGTTCTACATTTCTGTACATACCTCTCACAATCCTGGACAATTGTTGGCCAGTAATATCCCAACAAGATGATGCGCTGGGAAAGCGTACGGGACATTTGATGCGCCGCGCATACGCCTTCATGGACTTCCGCTATGACTCGCTCAGCCTCCCGGTTGGTTAGACATCTCAGGAGTGGCCCCCCAAATGCCCTTTTATACAGCTTTCCATCAAGAATCTGGAATCGGGGTGCCCTGAGCTTCACTTTTCTTGCTCGGTCATCTTGTTCTGGCAAGCTCCCATCCATCAAATATTCCATCAGATCATACATCCAATGGTCGTCCGCCCCGACCAAGTTTGACCGGTCAATTTGGCTTCCGGCCGTTATAGCGGCGACTTCCAACTTTTCGATGCTTGCACGGTCAAGGATCTCTACCCGGGCAAGTTTTGAAACATGCTCGGGAGCATACTGCGTCAATTTGGAGAGAAGGTCTGCATCCGCGTTCTCCGCTCGGGGAATTTGGGCGATCCTGAATTCTTCGAAGCCTTTCAACAGGGCAAGTACAAGGTCCTTGTATTGTGCCATGCGTCCTTCCCTTGCTTCCATGTTACCGGTCACCTGCCCAACTATCAGGCTAGAGTCAGACTTGATACTGACCCGGCTGATTTTCAGGGCTTGGGCAAGTCTGAGCCCTCCAAGTCTGAGCCCCCCAAGTCTGAGCCCTCCAAGTCCGAGCCCTCCAAGTCTGGGTTGTGCTCTATTCCTCTCTTGGTCACCATGAATCCCAAGAACTTCCCGGTACGAACCGCGAAGACGCATTTCTTAGGATTCAGCCGGAGGTTGTACCTTGCCATGATATCGAACGTGGCTCGCATATCAGCCGGGTGGTTCAGAGATACCTGGCTTTTGATTAGCATGTCGTCGACGTATGCCTCCATGGTCTTTCCTAGTAGTGGCTTGAAGAGCTTGTTCACCATACGCTGGTAAGTTGCCCCCGAGTTCTTCAAGCCAAACGCCATTACCCGGTAGCAGTAGGTTCCTTCGGGTGTGAGGAATGACGTCTTCTCTTCATTCTCCTTGGCCATGTAGATTTGGTGGTAACCCTTGAAGGCATCCATGAAACTTAGGAGTTCGCACCCCGCAGTTTCGTCCACCATTTGATCTGGACTGGGGAGGGGGTATGAATCCATCGGAAAAGCCTTGTTCAAGTCCGTATAATCCACACACATTCTCCACGTGTCGCCCTTGGGAGCAAGGACAACGTTGGCCAGCCAATCCGGGTACTTGACTTCCCGGATGTGACCAACACTGAGGAGGTCTTTCACTTCCTTCTTGACGAAGTCTCGCCAGTCACTGGCCAGGTACCGCTTCTTTTGGCGTACCGGTCGACTTCCCTCTCTCACGGCCAACCGGTGGCAGATAACAGAGCGATCTATTCCGGGCATATCCGCCACGCTCCACACGAATATGCCCGCGTATTCTTGGAGGACCCGTGTAATCCGTTCCTTGAGATCCTCGGGGAGATTCGCTCCAATTCTGACCATCCTCGAAGGATCTCCCGGGTGAAGTTCAATTTCCACCGTCTCGGCCTCGGGTTCCAATTTCTCCCGGGTCTCTCCCTTTGTGATTTCTTGGGAGATGACATTGACCCCCTTGGTCATTTTCTTGACTGCCCGGGCATAGCACTCCCGGGCGTTCCTCTGGTCGCCCTTCACCTCACCCACACCACCTGGAGTGTGGAACTTCATGCATAGATGAGGCATGGAAATCACCGCCCCGACTTTATTGATGCCTGGCCTTCCAAGAATTGCGTTGTGGATGCATTTGATGTCCACAACTATGAACCGCATCTTCTTCCACACGATCTTTTCACCTGATCCCAGTTCAACCGGTAGAACTATGGATCCTTCAGCTTCAACGGTGTCCCCCGTGAAGCCTGAGAGAGGGGTTTTGAGGGGTTCAAGTTGTGTTCGACACAACCTGAGTTTTTGGAAGGTCTCCAGGTATAAGATGTTGACACTGCTGCCGGTGTCAACAAGTACCCGGGCGACATCCACCCCATTAATGTCCAACCACTACTGGTTACGATCATTGTGATCTTCACCGGTAGGAGGGAGATCCCGGTCAGTAAAGACGATAGGCTCCCTCCTAGTATGTTTACGCCTGGGCGGTTCAGCACTTACCTCTCCAACGTAAATGCTCCGGACCCAGTTCTTCCGCTGCGCGGCTGAATCTCCACCCTCGGGTCCGCCGAAGATCATGCCGATGTGTTCTTTTTCGAGGGCAGGTTGCCGCTCCCTTGGCCGGTTATTCTTCCGCCGGTCGTTGTCCCGGTCATTCCCTGGGGCAGCTGGCCTAACCCATTGATGACTCTTCTCCTGGGCTTTCTGCAAGTAATCTTTGCCCAGCTCTCCACTGTCGATCATCTGCCGGATTACTCCCTTAACACTTTTGCATTCGGAGGTGTTATGGGAATCTGACCTGTGGTATGAACAATAGGTGCCCGACCACTGCCGCCCTACTTGACCGGTAGGGTTTTCTAGAGGAATGACCGGTGCTCTCCGGACTTCTTGGCATTCCTCCGTATTGACCACTCGGATGACCGGGTCTTAGTGGTGCCTCGGCCGGCTAGGTCCCGGTGCTTCTTCCTTCTTGACTTGCACCGGCTTGGACTTGTGACCATGCTCAGCCTCTCTCTTTGCCCGGAGCTGGGTTTCAGCTTCAGCAAACTCCCATGCGGTGTGGTAGGCCTCTTGGTACGTGGCTAGGGGTTTCCGGCAGAACTCCTTGTATAGTACCCCAGCACGCAAGCCATTCAAGAGGAGGGATAGGACGGTCTTGTCATCCATCTCTTCCACCTTGTCTACCTCTTCCTTCCACCTGGTAAGGAACTGAGTAAGATTCTCAGACTCCCTCTGCCCGGCTGTACTAAGATAGGTGAACTTCTTCCTCTTAGTACAATTCTCCTGGAACTTGGCCTTGAACTTTGAGGCCAAATCACTGAACGAGTCAATGCTTCCCGGGCGAAGCTTATTGAACCATTCAGTGGCTCGGTTCCGCAAGGTCTGGAAGAAAAGAAGGCACTTTTCTTCATCGGTGCAACCGTTCATGGTCGCACTCTGGTTGAAGGAGTCCAGATGGATTTCCGGATCTTCCTTCCCGGTGAATCTGGGGGCATCGATCTTGACCTTTCGCGGGAAAGGTGTCAGATGGACCTGTGTGGTGAACGGGGACCCTGCCAGGGGTTTGTCCCGGTCATTCTTCTCCCCGACCTTCTTTTCCAGCCTTTCCAGCTTTGCCTCCATCTGCTGGACGCGGTCGTTTGGGATGGTTGACCAGTTCGCCACCGGTAACCTGGGCTGACTTTCTGCCTCCCCTTCCTGGTGGGAGGCCCTTGTCCTCGCTGGCTCCTGTCAGTTAGACCGGGAGCGCCGGGTGCGGGCAGGCTCGGCCTCCCGCACCTCGCCTAGCCGGGCGAACGCGCTGACATGGGCAACGCTCTGCCCCAGCCTTTGCTTGGCTGACTTCCTCTAGCCTTCCTCCCTATCCCCCAGCCTTTCGAAGGCGGAGTTTCGGGAGGTCGCTGGCCGGATGTTTTTTCCTTTCTTCTTCTTATGGGCCCTCGGGATGTCCCACTCGCCGTCATCGCTCTCAATCGAGATGCAATGACCGTCAGGAGTGATCTGCGGATTCGTAGCTTGCGGGGGACGCGACGGACCTGCACCTTTAAGTGCACCGGCCAAGTTGACAGGGGCCATGGTGCTGACCAGCTGGGGCTGGAAAGGTGATGGCTGCGGCATCAGTGTCTGGAACGACGTCACCGCCATCGGAGCTTGTAGGGGCATGGTTCCCACGCCTGGAAGGGCGAATGGGAACATACCAGGGAGGAAAGGCATCCCCCTCGTTCTGCTGGCACATGGCCATGACCTGGCCAAAGCCCTGGATGGCTTGTAGGTTGGCTGGGTTATTGATTAACTGAGTCATGCTTCGTGGGAACGTTACCCTCGGTCCAGCGGAAGGGATGGGGGTCACGAAGGGACTGATCACGCTGGCCGTCGGGACAGAGCTCAGACCCAGAGGCAATACCGGGGCTGAAATGACCGGTATGGTAGCAGCCACAGGGATGCTGGCTCCCTCGTTGGTGGCCTGCACCTGAGCGGAAGTAGCGTTGATTTGTTGGCTGGAAGATATTTCGAGTGGTTTTCTTGTGGGTAGGTTTTAGAAGAGGAAACCTTAACGGTCCCACGGTCGGCGCCAAAATGATGGTGTAAATTACTTGACCGGTCAAACTATACTAGACCAGGTCTAGATTAGTTTGCTTGATTTGGCAAAGTAAGAAAGGTAAAAACACGCAGATTGACCGGTAGGACTTTAGGTGGAACACCTGTAGCCCAATTTATATTATAACGGAGAATGCACGGGTGCTTTTACAAGGGAGTAGAGAGAAAATGAATTCTGATCCCTCTTTCTGAGGCTTACACGAGTATTTATACTAGGCTAAGGGGACAGGACCACGTGCGCCCACGTGGGGGCATGCCGCTGACGTGGTGCGAGGTGACTGGTTTCGTCCTCGAGCTGCCTTGTCGCCTTGTGAGGGGGATCATTCCCTTTGTCGAGTAGCGCCTTGGATGGATTCTTCAGCATCTCTAGTTGTCCTCTACTGACACGGGTCGCTACACGCCAAGCCCTCGCAGATCCTCTTCTACCGACACTTTCCAACACCAGAAACTACACCGGGTAATCTCCGAGGGATGAATTCATCGAAGTCTGGAATAAATAGGATGATAACATAGTTTGACCGGTATACTTTTTTGTGAAGTGTACCGGTCATATTTTGGCCGATGATATATCGTTTTGCTGACGATTTAAGTCTCCCTTCCAAAACTTTCGAGATTGACCGGTCAAAGATTTGGCCTTCTCCTTTGACCGGTCGTGGGTGAAATACACCCATCAATCATATTTGCCATTAATGTAGAGGATTCTAGCATATATTCTACCACCAATAGATGTCTTGTATTTCCTCTTTATTTATTCAAACAATAAAACATTATTTATTATTTTTACATAGTATCAGAGTCTTTACTCTTGGTGACCTAATACATTCTGCTGGTTACCGTCGTTGTCTATGGTGGTTTACTTAGTGACGACGGCCTCACTCCCACTTGTTTCTCCAATAACCATCTGAAATGCTCCTCCATCCGGCTCCGGATCCATCACAGTCGCTTCTTGATTTTAGATCATATCGTCACCTCAACCTACTTAGTCAGCAGATCTTCGGTTAACATGCATCTCCGACAGAACCTCTTCGCTTTGTCTCTAAATCAGTCGTGCACGACTCCGGTGCACACCTTCTCCCTTCTTCGATGTCGGCGGCATGAGTCTGTCTGTAACGGCTCTTTTCCTATCCTCGGTACCGACACATCTCTTTTCTGATAATCTTTCTTCCTGTGTTCTGGTCCGAACGCATTTAGTCTGTTATTACCGAAGATATGCCTCTAGCTTCTGATTACAAGTACGGTCATCATTTAATTTAAAGTTAGCATTTAATCCTCATTGTTCAGGATGTTGGGAGCATCTCAAATATATCAATTATTTAATATATTTAATATTATATATTATTATTATTATGGTTGTTGTTAGCCTTAGGTTGCTAAGCCTCATGTTTTGATGTTAACAAACAATATAAGAGCTTAACGTTTGTTTAAGTGTTTCAGGTAAAACAAGAATCGATTAAGATTCGGTACTCAAGAATGAAGTCGAAACACTAAACTAGCGTAGAATATAGGTAGAAACCAATGTAAGGATATGACTTTATATACCTATATTCACAAGCTCAAAAGTACTCAAAAATATGTTTAAAACTATCTCATAAACATCTTCAAATATCTAAAAGGTTTTAAACTCAAACACGAAGGATTAAGGATATTTTAAAAAACGCAGGACTGTAGCACGGGACCCCCTACCGTCTGCACGGGACCCCCCTACCATCTGTACGGGACCCCCTACCGTAAGGTGTACTGTACTAAGATAGGTACCACCAGAGAGTTTTGGCCTGAGAAGGTACCTAGCTACCGTAAGCACGGGACCCCCCTACTGTATGGACGGGACCCCCCTACCGACTAGATGGGATTCCCTACTGTGACCGTTGGATTACTGTTCCTGATTTGTGATTTTGACTTTAATCAATCCTAATCACCTCCCAACGGCTAATTAACATCTTCCACTATAAATATAAGTCTAATCCTTCATATTTCTTAAAGAAACAAAGCTCTAAACATCCTCTCTTTTTATTCCAAGTGTGTTCATCCTTCTATTAATTATTTTCAATATTTTAGCTATTTTAAGAGTCTTAAATTCCTAATTTTTATACACACACTTTGAGCTTGTGTTTCTAGTTATATACTCTCATATTCATAATTTTGAGTTGTATTTTTGAGAGAGTATACTATCCTTCTACACCGGCTAAGTTTTGTTTTTCATTTTTATATTCAAGCCATTGTGTAAAACTCTTGTTTGTGTTTTTCAAACACATCTTTATACGGTCGAGAATAGCCGTTAAATTCTCATATTGTATTGGTCGAGGATAGTCATATAAATCCTTGAGTAAAGGTTCAAGGATAGCCTTTGAAATCCTTGGGGGAACGGTAGAAGATAGCCGTTAAATCTTCATAGTAAACGGTTCGAGATAGCCGTGGTAAAATCTCGGAGTGAATCCTATTGGCAAGGGTTGTTTGCCAAACTAGTACGGTGCTTTGACGGAGTTCAAGAGACCGAGACTTAGTGGATTCGGAAATCCTTGAGGAGGAGCCTCGAGGTACTGGAGTAGGGAGTTCCCGAACTAGTATAAATTCGGTGTGCATTTTATTTACGCTTTTATTTTTGCGTTTTATATAATGCTTCCGCATTTGCCAACACCGTTTTTATTAAACTCCGAAAAGTTTTCAAACGCCTTATTCACCCCCCTCTAAGGCGTGGGCACAACGACTAAACCGACTAACAGTTGTAACCTATTATAGTTGGATTTATTATTATATAATATTACCTTATATTATTACTCATTAATGGGGAGGATTATATAATATTAAATGTCTTGTATTCCCCCTTAATTTATTCAATCAATAAAGATTTATTTATTATTTTTACACAGAATAATGCAAGTATACATAACATCTCTAATTTTTTTCTTTTCCCACATACGAAATGGATTGTGCACGATATGCTATTTTCGTTTGAGAACACCAAATGCTCTTTCAATATCCTTTCTTGCTAACTCTTGTGCCTTCTTGAAATACATTCTTTTCTCATCCTCCACGCGGAGGCATGGATAAAAGAAGATGGAGCCGCAAATCCGTTATAAACATCATCAAATATTGAGGATTGATCGAGGATATTGATATCGTTACACAATCCTACAACGTCAAAGTATGCATTAATTGATGATGCTTATAAATAAATGCATGTTATGTACATAATATATTAAACTAAATAGAAGTATAACATATTAAATTAAAAATGATATACATACATTTGAGTTAAAAAACTACCTTTACCAAAATGCTAGAGACTATCACGAGAAATTTTGTCAGACATCTTCAAAAACTTGTGTAACACCCCAACATGTGTAACCCGGACAAATAAGTTAGCGAATCAGATTACTGCTAATTTGGTACTAACATGCATAATATTTCAAAAACATTTAAAATTAAATCGTCCATTCATATTAATTTAAAAACAAACATAGTTAATAGGAGTAGCAAAACCAAATGTTGTGGAAGCCTTTATATCAACAACAACAAAATTAATACTTTGGATTATAAATAAACAGAATGTTTAAAATAACAATGTAAGAGCTTTGCCCATCCACCAGCATCACGCCTCACTGTCCTCCACGCAGCTCATCCAATCATTGATCCCTACATGCGTGCAGTCAAAGACAACAAAGACTATACATTCAACTAAAATTTGAGTGACTAAATATCTAGTACTAGAATTAATTCATAAATTAGAATGCACCAATATATAATTACACAAAAATATAAAGAATCAGTGAATATATTGAATATCATGATGATTTGTTCATTTGTTTTTTTCAGGTCTTGCATATCTTTCACTTCTTTCACTTCACTGCCTATTTGGCTTAATCCACATCAATCTTATGGGAGTCGTGGAATCCAAACTCTCACTGGGACTCACACTCAAACTCCAAAGGTCTCTCAATGGAGGGGGTTGAGGTCCCTACAAGCTCTCACCAAGAATCAATAACCAACACATGTATGCTTTTAACCCTCAAGACCATCAGGTTTGTGATGACACTAGCATGACCATATTTTCTAATCTCAATCATATTAGTGACTTTCAATGCTCAATTCAACTCAGTTCCTAGATCTACTAGGTGACATATTTCACAATTTCAGTTCAACATATAATTACCCCCAACAAGTTGTGTACTTTGACAAATCCCGTATTTAAACACATTTCATTACCTTTGATAAACTTGCCAAATTGGTTATAAAATAGGATATCAATATTTCATTATATTGGTAAATTTGAATTAACTTGTGGTCTTTTTTTAATTTTTAAGGTCACGGTATAAAGAGGGATCGAATTTCTAACATCTTGAAAGTCATGTGTCTAATTTGCAAATACAAAACTAGATTTTGGCTTCTTTTCTTGTGACTAGTACACTCGGGTTGTCTCCTCTTCCTGCAGCCACATTCGACTCCTCGACCCAACAGCAACGGTGAATGGAAGCAACCTCCATCTCCAGGGCAGGCATCGGCGGCAACAAGGTGTTTTGGCTTAGTAGTGGCCCAGCGACAGAGGGGTACTGTTAGCCTTGCTTGCTAAACCTAATGTTTTAATGTTAACAAATAATATAAGAGCTAACGTTTGTTTAAGTATTTCAGGTATGACAAGAATCTATTAAGATTCAGTTCTTAAGAATGAAGTTGAAACACTAAACTAGCGTAGAATATAGGTAGAGAAATGTGAGGATATGATTTTATATACCTATATTCACAAGCTCAAATGCACTAACAAATATGTTTTAAACCATCTCATAAACTTTTTCAAATACCAAAAAGGTTTTAAACTCAAACAGGAAGGATTAAGAAATTTTTGGAAATATTAGATCAGGTAACTGGTAGCTATTCCAGTACTTCTCTACCGCCTAATGGTAGGCTATACCGTTGGACTAGTACCTAGGTCCCGCGAGGTGTAAGTTCTTCCACAACCGAATGGCCTGAAATGGTACCTAGAGACCGCCCTTCACGGTACCCTGATACTGTCTAGCCAGTACCATGCTACCGTTATCGTTGGAGAAAAATTCAAATTCTGGATTTTAAATCTAATCACCTTTATTTGGTCAAAATCCACCCCTTTCAGATTTTTTGTACAATAAAAAAGGTATATTCAGGTGCTCAATCACTCAAGACCTTATTTGTTTCATACAATAAAAAAAGTCTATCGAGCGCTCAATCACTATTCAGATATTTGAGTTTAAAATTTAAGGTCTTACATTTTTCGTCTAATAAAATAAGGTCTATTCAAGGAGTCACGCTTACATGGTCTCAAGTTTTACATTTAAAATATGGAACTTCTCACATTTTCCGTGGGCTTGTATGTGGATATTCTTTTTGCAGAGACCAAATTGTTTTATGCTACAAGTACACTAAGATCCATAAAATGAGAATGAATCTTAAATCCACGGAAGAATTTGCCCTATTCGAGTGCTCCATCGCTTTTCAGATGTTTAAGGTTAGAATTTTAGACATTTTTTTTGTACAAAAAAA